CACACACACACACACACACACACACACACACACACACACACACTGCAGAGCCCTGGCAAGCTGAGGAGTGCTGCAGGATGTAGGATGTTTATGACATGATGGAACTTGTCTCTTTCTTTAGTGACCTTTGAATAGATTGAATCATTTCCTTTGGAAATTTAAAGAAAAAATGCTTCAGTTTTTTTGTTTAACAAATCCTTTTTGTCCTTGAAAATATTTCTCAAAACATTATTTCTCTCGTTTGGAAGTCTCAAACTTCCTCTGGAGGCTATCTCTACCCTCCTCAGCAAATAACAATACAATTCTGGGGAAACTCTCAATTTAATGGGAAATCACATGGAAATGAAGGGATCTCTTCAATGTTACCCGGTGCCCCTCTCCACTTCTCAGCTGGAGAGTGGAGATTTAGAAAACATCTAATGGCCTCCAAACATTAATAGCTGAACTGGGCAGGGTGCCACATTTTTGTTGCCTCCTTTGGCTCTGTTTTTCACCAAATCACGCCATGTAGACAACACATCTCTGTAGGAGTTCCTGGGTGTCACTGGATTGCAGCCCTGAGATAGCCAGCCTCTTGGGTCACCATGGCAATGTTTGAGTTCTGCTTCAGTAAGGAAATTGTTGTGAGAGTTTTGGCAAGTTACTTAACCTCTCTGTGCCTTAGTTTCCTTACCTGTATAATGGGGATTCTTCTGAGGATTAAGTGAGATGATTCATTTAAGGCATTTGAACAGGGTCTCCATTTCCCACAAAGTGGTTTGGGAGTCTGTGTCCTGTGCCAGATGGTACAGAGCTTCACAGCCAAGTGCTGGGAAATGCTGTTCAGTCGTGGAAATGAGGAAAGACACAGGTGTGGGCCCGGATGCAGCCCAGGAAGGCTCTGCAAGAAGTGCCTGAGTGCTCTTTCTGGGAGCGCTGCTGCTCAGGCAGTCGGTCACCAGACCTGACCAGCTGAGCCATTAGGGTGATCAGCTCATTCCTGCCAGAGCAGAGACACCTTGTGTGGTTCTCAGTGGACTCCTGTACCCTCACCAGGTGCTTGGTTGCAGCTGCTGCCCAGACACGTTTCTCAGCACTTCAACATCCCCTCAAGCATCCATCTCCACCTACTCTGCCCTCTCTCCCCAGGCTCTCATCCTCCACAGAAATCAGAAACTCACTCCTCCTCTCCCCATCCGTCTCCTTGGAGCCTCCCTGGAAGCTAGATTTTCAGTCACAGTAAGCCAGCCTGAGAAGATGAGCACTGGAAATGGGCCCCTGTGGTCCCACTTTCAGGAAACCAAACTGATATTTAGAACAACTTTCTTGGATCCAAATGCCACCCTGAAAGGAATGACTCGTGGGTGGCAAAAATTTTCAGCACCTTACCAGGCTGGAGGGATAGTGCTGCCCTGGTCTGGTGGCCCGTGAAGTGGGGGAAGCCCTGACCCCTGGGCGCCTCTCCCCTTCCCTGACCTCTATGCACACAGTGCAGCCTCATACCTGAGGCAGTGTGTGGTCATGGCCGCCTGTGTCCCTTTTCCTAACATCCTGGTGCATGCAGCCATGGGTCCCTAGCTGCCCTCCGAAAATGCTGGTACTTTGCCCACATCCTCTCGGGTTCCTTATGAGGAGCTCAGATTACACAGACAGGTCTCCACCTCATCATCTTCCAGTAGTTTGAGACCCATCAGGGCTCTGTCACCTCACACTGACTTCCCTTTCCCCATTCACCTCTTGCAGAAAGCAAAATCAGGAAGCAGAAATGACAAGCGTATGTCGCTTTAGCAGCTGGTCAGCAGTTGTGCAGAAGAGGCCAAACCCTGGCTTCTCCCCAAGGTCCCTGGCTGCAGCCCAGGCGGGGAGGAGGCAATGCTGAGGGTCAGCCTGGCACTGCCTGGGAGAGGAGTTCAAGAGGCCTAGCCTGGATGGCTGCAGGCGGGAAGCAAAGTGGGTCAACTGGGGTGTTGCCCTCCCCTGCAGTTACTACACAATAAACAATGGAAACAGGCGGGGTCGGGGGTGGGGGGGTTGGGGGGTGGGGTGGGATGGTCACGACAGTCTGCTTGCCCCATCAGATGTTTCCACTTTTCTGAGTCATTTTCCAGGTCTGGTGACATTTATTATGCAAAAGTGTTGTATGCAAGAGACACAGCCCACTCTGCTGATTGTGCTGTCCGCCACTGCCTGACATACCACGGGTCTGCACGTGGTCACACACGTTGTGGTAGTTTACCAGCTCACAGCCTCTCCCTCGGTCCCGGGCAGTGTCATCAGCAATCATAAGTGTGCCCTTTTCCTGAAACTTGCGTGCAGGTGATGGTTCTTATTATGTGAAATGTTTACTCATCTGTTAAACACTGAACCTCTTCTTGTATTTTTTTTGCATTTTCTTAAGAAGTAGGAAGGTTGGGATTGACTGCACCCATTGTTTTGTTTGTCAACTGTAGTTCCTCAGCTTGAATTATGTCTGGGTCTTCAGGGTCCCTGGACCTATGACTCTGAGTACATTCTCTGCCCAGATGAGCCCAGGATTTACCCAGGCCATGAAGCTTTTAGGGCCTCCAGACTCTTGGTGTTAAATCCAAGATGAGCTGTTCAGCCTATCCTTAGGCTTTTAGACAGAAATCTCACTAAATTTCCCTGGCTGTAAACCTCCTGCCTCAGCCTCCCTAGTGCTGGGGTTACAAGTGTGGGCCCCCACACCTGGGTCAGTCTTAACTATTTTCCAGTGTATGCTGCAGTGGCTTTAAGGGGATTCACAATATTGTGCAACCATCACCAATATGGATTTCATGAGGTCTTTTCACAACATAGGAGCGTCATGGGCTTGCGTTTACACGCGTCAGTGATATGGTCAAGTGGCTGTGGCCTTGCACACGTGGCCTCTCCTGTTCTTTCCATTGTGGGGCTGAGGCAGCACCAAAGACATTCCCTGTGCTTTGCCCTGGCATCCCTGTTTCCCTCTGGTCTCTGGCTGTTTGTGTCTCCCTGGGCATATGCATGTGGGTTACCTGCATCATGTTCGGGAAATTAGGGAACATTGTACATTCTGCTGCAGGGGGATGAAGCTTCTGAAGATGAAATAATTTTGATGAGTTGTGTCTTTTTTTATGTGCTAAGGATTGAACCTGGAGCCTTTGCACTGAACTACATTCCCAGCCTCGCTGTCTGTCTATCCCTCTCTCTCTCTCTCTCTTTTTTTTTTCTCTTTCTTTTCTATTCTTTTCCCTCAGGCTGTCTGAGAACTTACAATCCTCCTGCCTCAGCCTCCCAGACTTCTGAGATTACAGAGGTGCAGCACTATGCCTGGCAGATGAGTTATAGCTCATGCAGCACTTTCTAGGGACCAAAAGCCTTGTCCAGCCTTCGACACTGACTTGGCCCTGTACCCACTGAGTGGCAGAGCTGGGCTGTCCCTGTTCTTGCAGCTTCTATACTTCTGTTAATGCAAAAAAAAAAAAAAAAAAGATCACATTCCTTCCTGCCAATCAAGGAAAGGGAAGAGTGAGTTCAGAGACATTGAAAAGTGGGTTGAGTGGCCAGGAAACAGAACCAGGCTAGAGGCATAGGTTTTTCTGTGGAATTCCAGGAAAGCACCTGCTGGCAGGTTCATATAACTGAACAGAGCATTAGTAGGAGGCCGAGCTGGCCCTGGGCTGCTCAGCTAGTACTTCTGGGTGGGTGAGGGTGACCTCAGAGGTCAATGCATCTGGAAGAGCTCAGGCCAGGACAGGAGACAGTAGCCTCAGAGAGTAAACAGCTCCTTGCTTACTCACTGCAGAACACGCTCCAGTGTCCGGCCAGGTGCTCTACTTGGAATAATGCATGACCAACACAGCCTTCCCAGTGACCCAGCTCCCTGAGCCCCCTGTGTAACGGAGATGAGTAATTTTATCTGACTCCACATGACATCAACTGGCCCATCTCCTGCAGGAGTCTTTGTCTGATGCCTGCCCTTTGGGTCGTATTTATATTTATGTCTCATTTATTTTCCTCCTTTGTGGGTTGTGGTTTTCCGGGAGAGAAGTAAACTGCACTCCAGGCAAACATGGAAAATCCAATTGTTCAATAGATGATAAACCCCATTTCCTCTCTCTTTTTTTTTCAAAAGATGAGTTGTTGAATCACATGTCAGGAGTGACCACCATGCTTGAAATACCAAACTTCCCATGTTTATGCCTCATGCATATCTGCGACGCATGTGCCTGACGGTTGGCCTGTTCTGCTTTTGGCAACATTAATCTGGGCGGCCCATTCTCCTCCCCAGAGAGTCAATGTCCAAGAGCATGCAGGACCACTCCTGCTTGAAGTCTCACCTCCCACTGCCCCCCACCCCGCCCATGCTTCCACCTGGGGGCAGCACTCTGAAGGACACTGTTACCCTCACCGTCTGCTGTCTGCCTCAGTTGGTCACTCCTCAGCATCCTGCAGCCCTGCCCACCCTGTCTCCCTTCTCCTCTTGCATGACCCTTCTGCTGCCTGTTGTCCCTGTGGGTGCCTGGTTAAGAGCTGGGACTTCACATCCCTGGGTGTGGTACTCCCTGTAACCCAAAGTAATGAGAGCAAATCAGTGTGAGAGAAGAGCCCACTTGCTCTGTCCCACGGTGTGGGATTCTGCAGCCCTTCCACCTGGAGGTTCTCTCCGGCCAGGGGCTTCCTCAGCAGGGCTCCCCTTCTGACTTCCTGTACACTGGCATGGGGCCTGCTGCTGCAAAGTGCTTGGGAATGCACTTACAGAATAAAGCTTAGTTGGAAACTAAGCTGAACTTTCTCACAGTAACACCGAGTGCTCACTTGGCACTCTGTGTACCAGGACAGCTCTGTCCTTTACTCTGTAAAGAGAGCGTTCCTAAAAGTCTCTGGAAGAGCATCTACTCTGAAATACATCCATAACCTGCGGGATACCCTCATCTTTTAAGGATTCTAAACGTTTGCAGAATTTGTTGTTGTTGCTTGGAGGTTTACAGAAATGCAAAGCTGTAGAAGCAAGAGCTGGAAAGGACTTGGCGTCATCTTACCTTATGGCTGGGGAAACCGAGGTCCAGAGAAACAGAACAGATCACACAGGCGAGTCAGCTGTTTCATCTGTCCTCAGCCTCTGCATGTAGACTGATGATGTCTGACCAGGGCAGAACTGCAGAGGGACCGGAGATGTCACAGCCTTCATCACTGGCCTGTGAATACAGCCTTGCTCTCTGCCCTTGGAACAGGTGAGTAAAGTCAGAGCCGACTCACCCCGATACTCTTCCTTGTCATGGGACAGAATGTCAGGGAAGAGTCCTCGAGAGAAGAAGGAATGGTGTATGTTTCAGAAAGACCTGCAGAAACACAGAACACAGCAAGCCTGGTGAGGGTCACAGTGGGAAGGTCGCAGGGTGCAGGGGGCAGACCTGACAGCACCACTGCACTCGCCCGATACCAGGAGCCTAATAGCACCTGCTTAAGACACATTTGTTGGGTTGAATGAAATCAAATCTGTACTTAAAGTGATACAGAGAAGACAGCACGGTCCATGCCGTCCCCATGCCGTCCACAAAGGTACACACACAGGAAAACGGACAAATGTCCCCAAGGAAGACTGTATCTGTCTCTGTGAAGAACAGATGTGGATGGATGCATAAAGGACTGGAAATAATTCTATTATGCTTTGTTTCTTGACAAGAGGAAAATCAAGGAGGAACTAAAACGAATATGATAATGTGTATTTATTCTGAGTGATGGGAACATAGGTGTTTTTTCTATTAACTTCTGTTATTTTTTTTTCCAGATTTGAGACTTTCAAATAATACTACAGCAATAAGTTATAGAGTTACTATTTTAGATTCTGCTTGGGATCTGGTGTTGAGGGTTTCAAAGACTACTTTCAGGTTTGACAATTTGGTAGGATTTAGAATTTGGAGATGTTGTCATTTTGCAACTACAAAGTATGACAATGAAAGATACAGAAATATCAAAAGAAAAATGTGCAGAATACAAGTCTGAATGAGACCAAGCATGATTTCCGGTCATGTCCTCATAGGGAGCTGAACAGAAAAGACATAACTGTCCCGAATGCTGTGTGACAGCACACATGCTGAAGCTCACCAGTCTTGTGTCCTTGTCCTCTCTCTGTTTCTGTCACAGAATATCTAAGGTAGGTAATGTGTAAAGAAAAGAGACTCAATTAACTCATACTTTTGGAGAGTCTGAAATCAGGTGGCCCCATCCATTAGGTCTCTGGCAGGGCCATGGCTGTGTCGGGGGGTGATGGCAGCAACATGGCGGAGGTGTGTGTGAGACACAGCAGGACCGGACGACAGGGACTCAGGAAAGAGCCTGGCTCTCTGCATCACAACCTGCTCTTGGAGGAGCTACAAGGATCCTTTCACTGCCACTCACATGACAGCATCCCCAAATTCTGAATCCCACCAAATCACCTGGATCCCACTAGTCTCTGACCTGATCAACTATAAAGCCTCACTTCCCCTCCTCACCTACACACAGGGCACAAGGGACCAGCACACAGAATGTTGGGGGACAAAACCCTTATACTATAGCACTCAATGCCCGGGGCTTAGCTATTCCTGTCTGCCCCCTCAGAGGTCAAACAGACACAGTACAGCCTGAGAGCCCACTCATAAATCACACTGTTGACATTAAGCTCTCTGATGTGGTGTAAGACCTAATAGAGATAAGAATTATGTTGTAGATGTTACTTTTGGGGTTAGACAGAGAGGGGAAGAAAAGTTTCTAACTCCCAATAAATTGAGAGAAGCCAGAAGTATGTTGGCCAGGTTTTGAAGCTGGGAAAGGGCAGCATTTGACACGGGCAGGAAAACCCCAGGCTCAGACAGATTTAGAAGCCAAGCTTGGAACACAAGGACCAAAATGACAACAGCAAAGCATCATGGGAAGTAGCTAGGAGAAGAGATAGCATTTATTAAAATCATTGTAGTAATCTTTCCATTTTAAGATTATGCAGATGAATTCTGATCTGTCCCAACAGACATATGGACAGAAGGAATGAACAGGACACTTACTCTTAAAAAGAAACACAAATGAGCTGGGTATGGTTGCGCACGCCTGTAATCCCAGCACTCGGGAGGCTGAGGCAGGAGTATCGTTGTGAGTTCAAGACCAGGTTGGGCTACAAAGTGAGCTCAAGGCCAGCCTGAACTGCAGAGAGACCATGTCTCAAAAAGAGGAAAATAATAATAATAAAGAAACACAAATAGTTAAAATCAGAGGGGAAAAAAAGCTTAAATAAAGGTTGAGTAAAACAAAAATGATTTTTTTCTTTGGCTGTGCAGGTCACTGAACCCAGCACCTTTACACTGAGTACATCCCCAGTCGTTTTTAAATGTTCTGTTTTCAGACAGTTTCACCAAGTCACTAAACTGCCTGAGTTGGGTACAAACTTGTGATCCTCCCTCTTTAGCCTCTGAGAGACATTTTCTAACCTACGAGTACATCATAGGAATTAAACATGGGTTAATTTAAATAAACAGCAACTCAAACAACTCAAGTGTTCCCAAACAGATAGATTGCTTAAATACATTGTATGGATTAAGGAGCCATATGGATATAGTCCTATTTTGGCAGCAATATGATTCTTTGAATATGTGTGTGTGTATGTGAGAGATCTATATGGTCTGAATGACACGCTATGTAAAAGTGTTAGTGATTATTAACCAGAGGGTGAGACTGCACGTTTGCTCTGAGTTCTCTCTGTATTTCCAGGTTATGATGAATACGCCATGGTTTGATAATAATTCCTTCCCCCCCAGTACCTCCAAGATCTGCAATTCTTGCCTATGAAACATTCTCAAACTTCTGTGCATTCTCCTTGCTTGCTGATTTGCAGAGTTTCCCAGCCTTGCTCCAGGTGACTGGAATCGCAGCCTGGGTGGGCACGGGCATGTGCAGTTTCCGGAGCTCCCTGGTGCTTCACTGGCAGCCTGGCTGGGTCGTGGACACACTCCTCCTACCTGAGCCCCTGTGTCAAGGGGGTGTGACTTGTCAGACTTGCCCGACTCCACCCGGCCTCCAGAGAATCTGCCTTTTGACCTGATTGCCACTGTTCCCAGCATGGCTGAAGAGGAGAAGAGCTGGTATAAAGTAGCATCTGCCTCTGCTCTTTGTGACAGGAAAGAGAGCCGCTCACATTTTCACTGTGGGGTTCACTGGAAAGGGCAGTAACTATGGCTTCATGTCGGCAGCCTTTATGCTTTTGTTAAGTTAACATTATGTCACTTTCAAGGCACTTTCTTGGTCTTATTATGATCGTGTTTCTGAGTGACTATAATATATTCCCTTTCCAGTGCATAGACTTGAGTTCAGAAGGCATTAGATAAACGACCCTGCTCTTTCCAGCCACTCTTTTTGGCCTTTGGTACTACGCTTGCTACAAAATCACACTCTCCTCTTTCCCTCATGCAAGCTGAGCAGGTTTTTCCTGAGGCCCTGCATTAGGGGTGACACTGGGAGTTAGGCTGGAGAATGAGGTGACCGTCATGCCCTCTGCTTTCTTGAAGTTCAGGTTGTGCCAAGCTCCAGAGGCTTGAACATGGTGCCAGTGGTTTAGGTGGGTGACCTTACTTCCTGCTTCTGGGGCTGGGACAGCAACATTAGGGAGGTGGCTTCTGAGCTGAGGGCCTGGCACATTCCTGGCAGGGAGGTCTGCAGGAGAACGTGTGCCAGGGGTGGTGCCCATCACTAGCTAAGTGCTGATGAGTCAGGATTCCAGCTCAGTGTGCTTAAGGCTGCAAGGAAGTTTGCAGTTCAAAATCCACAGCTCAAACAACCAAACTGTGGAGAAACTTCTGGAAGATTAAAAAGTCCCAGGCCAAGCCATCAAGACTCTCCCTGATCTTCCATGTCCCTTTCACCCTCTCCCTGGTTTCCCCGACGGGAGAGGAACACGACTGCAACCAGATGAGAGAGGAAAGTCCCTGCCCTGTGCACAGTGTTTGCTTTACAATTGTGAAAGAGAGGAAGAGGTGGGCATAGCTAACCAGGGTCGCTGTGAATTGATAATTGTGAAACTTGACTTTCAGTGCAGAGACTCATTATGTTATCTACATATTTTTGTATATATTGAAAATTTTCTTCCAATTAAAAATCTGAGAAGAAATCCTGCCAGCATTTCTAAATGAAGGCAGGCACTTGGGGACTGCGGCTAGGGGACGTGGTCATAGAACAACCTGGTTACTCAACAAGAACCTCCTGGTTAGACTACAGGTAGGAAAGCGGAGCTGCTTCCAAATGAAGGGAGCTTGATTTCCAGGGGAAAGGAGGGCAGGGCCCTGGGTACCAGGACAAAGGCTGGAAATCATCGGGCCAGCCCTACTGGTCACGGCAACATGATCGCATCTGTGCCCGTCTCCTGTTCCGGCGGTGTCTTTGCCCTCGTCAGTCACCCCGCCATACAGTTCCGGGTCACATTCGTCCTACGGCCTCCCAAGCCCTGTATCCGTTCTGTCAGTTCTGCTCTGAGATGGTGATTTACTCCATTCCGTCCTCCCTTACCCCTCCACCATGAGCCTCCACAGCTCTAGTCCACACTGCTCCACTGGACACGTTGTCACTGTCACCCCTTCATCCCTAGGGCCTGCAGGTCTCCCGTGGCTTCTGGAGGCCCCAGGACAAGTGTGAGACACAACGACCGTCAGTCTTTTTCTCTAGTTTATTTTCTTTTTATTATTATTTATTTTTTATTTAGAGAAAAACAGAAAAATGGTAGAAATGATACAGAATTCAAAAAAAGAAATCACTAGTTGATAAATTATATATTAGAAGTAACTGCTCAAGTCACAAAATCAAAGCACAAAAAGTATACAATCAATGACAGTACAAATCGTTCTGTAAAATAAACTAACAAAAACTTGGTAGTATGGTTATCTGTCTTGCACACTTAAACATACATACAGTTGATATCCTTTACAGCACTTTCCTACCCTTTCATTATTACAATATCTATTATACATTTTGAATATTATTACTCTTTCAGTTTTTTATTATTATTTTTATACTAGACATACAATATAATATTTATAAATGGTGAATCTGATTTATTTCACTTATGAATATAGTCTCATAAGTACCTCCATTTACGTGTAAAGGCCACGAGATCATCCTTTTTATAGCTAAGTAATATTCCATCATATAAAAATACCACATCTTTTTCATCCACTCTGTGGTTGATGGGCATTTTGGTTTTTTCCAAGATTTAGCTATTATAAATTGTGCTGCTAAACATGGGGAGCACATATATCACTGTGACATGATCTTTTCAATTTTTCAGGCAAAATACTCAGGAGGGGAGTAGCTGGATTGAATGGAACTTCCAATCCTAGTCTTCTGAGAATTCTCCATAGTGATTTCCATAGTGACTGTACCAGTCTACACTCCCGCCAACAGTGGAGCAGTGTTCCTTTTTCCCTGCAGTCTCACCAACATTTGTTATCAGTTGATTTCTTGATGCCAGCCATTCTTTCTGGAGTGAGATGAAATCTCAATGCTGTTTTAATTTGCATTTTTCGAATGACCCGTGATGGTGAACATTTCTTCATGCATTTGTTTGCCATTTGTATATCTTCATCAGAGCTGTGTGTTCATCTCAGATGCCTATTTTTGAAAAGGGCCTTTGAATTTGGGGGGGCTTGATGTTTTTCAATTCTTTATATGATCTGGATGTAAGTCCTTTGTATGAGGGATTGTCGATTAAAATCCTGTACCATTCTGTGGGTTTTCTTTTTGTTGGTGATTTCTTTGGAAGTGCAAAAACTTGAGATCCCAGTTGTTGATTCTTTAAAGTACTTTCTGTGCAGTTTGTGTTTTGTTCATGAATTCTTTGTCTACCCCTATGTCTCCAAGATTTTTACCTACCTTGTCTTCCAGTAGATTTAGTGTTTCTGTTTTAATATTTACAGCTTTGATCCATTTTGACTTTAGTTTAGTGCCTGGTGATAGGCATGGGTCTAGTTTCAGTCTTCGGCATGTGGAGGGCCATTTTTTCTAGCACCCTTTATTAAAGAGGCTGTCTTTCTTCCAGTGAGCGTGTTTAGCCCTTTTGTCAAATATAAGGTAGCTGAGTGTCTTTGTAGTTGTGTTTGCATCTTCTAACCTGTTCCACTGATCCTCAGGTCTATTTTTTTTGCCAGTACAATGCTGATTTTATCACTGTAGCTTTGTAATATAATCTCAAGTCAGGAATTAAGATTCCTCCTACCTTGCCTTTGTTGCCCAGGATTGCTTTTGCTATTCTAGGTTTCTTCTGCTTCCAAATGAATTTTAGGAATGTTTTCTTTAGATCTGTAAGGTATGTTAATGGTATTTTGATTGGGATTGCATTAAATCTGTATAACAGTTTTGGGAGTATGACTGTTTTTAAAATGTTGGTTTTTCCTAACCAAGAGCAAGGAATATCCTTCCATTTTCTAATATCCTCTTCAAACGCCTTTTTTAGAGTACTATAATTTTCAGCATATAGGTCTTTTACATTCTTGATTAGGTTGATTTCTAAGTATCTCAGTTTTTTTAGGTGCTATTGTAAAATGCAATATTTCCATAATTTCTCTCTCAATGAATTTTTTTGTGTACAGGAATGCTACTGATTTTTGAGTATTGACTTTGTATCCAGCTACACAGCTGAATTTGTTGATTACTTCTAGTAGGCTTTTAATGGAGTGTTTGGGGTCTTCTATGTAGAACAACATGTCATCTGCAAATAGTTATAATTTACCTCCTTCCTTTCCTATCCTTATTCCTTTTATTTTTCTCTCTTGTCTGATTGCTCTGGCTAGTATTTCTAGAACTATATTGAATAGGAGTGGTGATAGTGGACATTCTTGTCTTGTTCCTGATTTTGGAGTGAAGGCTTTGAGTTTTTGTCCATGTAGTATAATGTTGGCTGTTGGTTTATCAGATATGGCCTTTATCAGATTGAGACAGTTACCATCTATTCCAAGTTTCTGTAGGGCTTTTATCATGAACAAGTGGAATTTATCAAAAGCTTTTTCTGCATCTATTGAGATGATCATGTGATTTTTGTTTTTGAATTTTTATGTGTTGTTGTTACATTTATTGATTTGTATATTAAATCATCCCTGCATTCCTGGGATAAATCCCACTTGGGTGTGATGTATAGTCTTTTTGATGATTCGATGCATTCTATTTGCCAGTAGTTTATTGAGAATCTTTGCATCAATGTTCATTAGTGAGATTGGCCTACAGGTATCCTTTTTGTGTGCATCTTTCTCTGGTTTTGGTATCAGAGTAAAACTTGCCTCCAGAAATGAGTTAGGGAGGATTGCTTCCCTTTCAATTTCATTGAAGAGTTTGGTGGAATATTGGTGTTAAATCTTTAAATTTGTTGTAGAATTCAGTTGTGAATCCATCAGGATCTGGGATTTTTTGTTGGTACATTTTTAATCATGTTTTTAATTTCAATAGCTGATATTAGGATATTCAAAATGGTTATATTTTCTTGATTGAGCTTTGGTAGTTAATACATTTCTAGAAATCTGTCCATTTTCTCTGTGTTTTCCACCCTATGAGAGTAAAGATTTTCGAAGTGGATATTTATAATCTTTTGAATTTCCATGAGATCTGTAGTAATTTCTCTCTTTTGAGTCTTTACTGCATGAATTTGGTTTTTCTTTCTTTTTCTTGATAAAGTTGGCTAGAGGTGTATCAATTTTGTTTATTCTCCCCCCAAAAACAGCTCTTTGACTCATTAATTCTTTGGGTTTTAAAGTCTCAATTGCATTAATTTCTGCTCTGATCTTTATAATTTCCTCTCTTCTGTGAGCTTTGGGTTTTACGTGTTCTTCTTTTTATAGACGCTTGAGATGTAGCATTAGGTTGTTTATTTGTGCTTATTCTGTTTTCTTTTGAACAGAATAAAACCAAATGAAACAAAACAGAATAGAGTGAATCAAAAC